CAAGCCGCATTGCCCCATCTTAGCTAGAAACAGGAGGTGCGAGAAGCACACGCAATCACCATTCCAGGCTAGAAAAGGCTGCGTAGCCCAAATCAGCTGAGTTTCATTCAAGCACAGTCTGCGCAAAAGCTGCTAGTGCCTCTTTGTTGCAGCTGCAAAAATTGGTCGCTCAAATATGTGCCATACTCTTACTGTTGCACGTGCACTTCTGCTGGAACAATCAAGTCAAACATGAGGATGCAGTGACAATAAGAGCCTTCTCAATTACTGGGTGGCTAACCGGCTTGCAACCGAGCCTAGTTGCATCACTTGCACTGTTAACAAGGCAAGCAGGTGCCAACCTCGCGAGCAAACCGCCCTGCCCTGCCTGTTATGGACGGAAGGACAAGCCACGGCGATTGCTTTGCAAGGCTCTTGATCATGTCCTGCAGGGATTTCTGAACCAACAACACAAAGCACAGGCAGCTCAAGCCGTTTATGAGCTCTACGCCTCGACACTTCGTGCGTGCAGCATGGCTTGGCGTGCTTGGAAATTGTGGGTGCGTTTTGCCCTCGATTCCTTTTACTTCCGTGTCAGTTGTGTAAGTGCATCTTGCAATACGTAGCAGTGATGATCACTCAAACAGGATGCCAGTGGGATCCGCTCACTCTACTTCACAAGCGCATGGTGCTGCATAGTGGCATGTGTCCAATCAAACAACCAGGCGGCGTTCTGCCATTTGACAGGCCGGATGCAAACATCAACGCCGCACACTTTGTGTGAGCCAAGAATACATTGCCTTACACAATGCAGCGATCAAGCCTTGTAGCCGTACTCGGCGTCCGTTTGGGGCATGAGTTCTCCCACTTTCGCAAATTGCTTTACCTTGGCTGCTAGACTTGCGTGATCTTCAGGAATGTACAAATGTATACTCAAACCAGTCTGCTGAAAAAACCCAATGGTGGCTAGTATAGGATTGTTCCACACAGCATATCAAGCTGACAATCACGGGCTGTCTGACTGGCAACAAAGCAGCACCACCCTGCCCACGCCGCTAGCTCCAGTTGCACCAATTCACTATTCGAAACGACATTCCATTGGTCCATGGCCAGCGCAAAGATGCAGCTCAAATTAAGCCTGCAGACTGGGGCCCTTGACTACTTGAACATGTGAGCACATGCAAGCACTTTGCTTGGCGTCACCTGGCTGAAATTTCACAAACGAAGTGGTGCAGCTGGAACAGGTTCTACAAGTTGCTTCAGGATCGTAGAGGTACCTGAAGACAGGCACCTTGCTCTTTCCCGGCTTCCAGAAGCTCGCAAGGATGCTGGATTCAGGGGGTCCGCCATGTGGACCCTGGCGCGAGAGTTACATCGGAGACCGTCACATCACATGTCCTCAACTCGGCTTTGGAACATCCCGAGGATGGGGCTGAACAAGCTAAACAAGCGTGATCGGCCCAAATCGAGCATTGCAAAGCGATTCGGCGATGGTCCCCACAAACTTAAACATGTGCGTTCAAATCAGCACTGTCATCGCTTGATGCGGAACAAAACAACATTTGAGCAAAAAGCAGAAAAGTCAAGGATCAGGGTTAAGTTATGGCACTTTGTCCAATTGCCAATTCAGCAGAGTTGTTGTTTGGGAAGGTCATGCTAGTGACGTATCAAACGCCCACGCCGGGGCCTACGACATGTGCAATTACCATTCGGGACAGGCTATGCGAAGTGCACGTTAGCCTCTCAAAGTGACGACCGTGTGTTTCGCGCTTAAAATTCGTACGCGCGCGGTGCCTACGCCACGGTTCAAAAAGTCGCTGCGCACGCCGTTGCAGTATTAGGGCTATGCTGGGCCTGATACGTCCACTCTCCTTGTACTTCCGGAAAGCAAATGTTCATGTCCTTGAGGTACAGAAATTGCAAGCCATGCCTGCTCCCTTCATATCTTTGCCATGCCTGTTCCCTCCATATCTTTGCCAACGCTCAGCTGTAAATTGCAGGGTGTCAGGCCTCACCGCTCTAGGTAAATTGGGTTAGGTGTGTTGGTGTCCTGTTGTGTGTATGTGTGTTTGTGCCTGTTGTTTGCTTGCGTGCTTGATTGTTTGTGTCTTTGTTTTGCTTGTAGTGGTGTTTTGTGTTGTTTTGTTGGCGCTTGTGTGTTTGTTGGTATGTTGGTTTGCTTGTTAGGTTGCTTGATTGCTTGCTTGTTTGCTTGTTTGATTGTTTTTTTAGTTGTCTGTGTTGCTTGATTTTTCATTTGCTTGGTTAAATATGTTGTTTGTGCCTGCGTTTGTTTGTTTGTTTGTATGTTGGTTTGTCTGTTGTCTCTTTATCTTTCTGTCTGTCTGTCTAACTGCCTGCCTGTCTGTCTGTGTCTCTACTGTCTATGTCTCTGCCTCTGTCTGTCTGTGTGTGGCTGTTTGCGTGTTTGCGTTTGCGTTTTGGCTCTGTGTGTGTCGCTGTGCGCCTGTCTCTGTCCCCCTTTGCGTCGTTCTCTGTCTCGTCTCCGTCCGTCTATCTGCCTCTCTGTCTGTGCTTGTCTGGGTCAGCCTGTCTCTCTCTCTGTCTCTCTCTCTCTATGTCTGCGACAACTGCGTTTCACGCATGTTTGTAATGGCACGCAAAGACAGCCTACATGCAGGGTAGGCTTCGCGTTGGGGGTGACCGGCACCTAGATATCTACTCGCGTGTTAATAACATCGCGCTGCTGATGGGTGGCCAAGTCAAGGTGCGGCAATCTGCAAACATCCAACAACCCTGGAAGACACAGGACCTTTTCAAGATGGAATCATTGTAAAAATCTGAACAGGACTTGGGCGCCTCCAGCTTCATCTGGTACGGGAGCCTGCCGGTTTCGTAGATGTGGCGCACGAAGAGCCCCGTCTGGTTCAAGGCATTCGCGGCTGACCAGAGTGGTTGCCCCAGGCCACAGCCTTCCGAGTACATGGGGAACCTGAGCGAAGCCAAATGCCCGTTGCTAAGTCAGTAATGAAGTTGACTTGTCACCTTGCTAGTTTCTGTGGATCAATGTCACAAATCACAAATGTATGTAGGCCACCAGTTGCAATTGATCAAAATGCATGCATGGTGTGTGCCCACATCGTACCGCTGAACATTGAGCGTGCCGGATAGTATGCTGCTGGCAGCTTGCGTATCCACTTGTCGTTGCTCTCTTTTTGTTTTCTCTCCTCTCTCTCTCTCTCGCACACGCGCCATCGTTCCCTCTCTCGCTCTGCCTCCTTTGCCACTTGCCATGCGTGTAAGATGAACGCAGCTGAGCAGCACGTGCCACATTGCGTGGTAAACCTTGCCGCGCCCAGCGTTCAAGCCCCGGCAGATTGACACATAAACAAGCCTATGCCAAGAGTGCCATTCACTACAACCCCGGCCTGCCCTGACAAGCGCATCTAATCCAAACAGAACGAAGCCTCCAGTAAACCTTGCAATCTTGAAAGGCATCCAATCTGGCCCTTGTCGACACAAGCTTCAATTTTGCAAACATTTGAACATTCCAGGTACTCCGTAGCAAGATTGTCCGAAATTTGTTCCGAAAACGCAAACTTTGCAGAAACACAACTTTCGCGACCTCCATCGCGGAGCTTTTTCTCAGGGCTATGTTCACAACATTGAGAACAAAAGTAGCACCCAAAGTACACTTCAGCACCAGCTCGAAAGCCGCGCAGAAGCACAGGAGGGGACCCGTTGGCCACCCAGTCGACTTTTGCGGTACTTCCGCGGACATTCTACGAAACATTCAAGAAAATCCGGCTGGGAAGGTGCACTCTGGACCTGAAAGATTCAAAGCTCGAACAACCAGCTTTCTGCTGGGGGTGCGTTTGCTGTGACTAATTCTTCCAATCCTTAGGCTGTGCTTTCTTCCGACCAACATTAGTGCGCATCTTGCGGGTGCCGGCAAATCAACAGGCTTCATCAGTCCATCTTTCTTTTAGCAAACCGACCTGACCCAAAACCATCGCGAAGAGCAACTTGACTTTCGCAACCTCCATCGCGGAGCTTTCGCGAAGGCCAACACTAAGATCAAACGATCCCCTTCATAGTCTGAAAACAAGGACCGGACGACTTCCACATGCTTTCCGATGTTTGCGTTCCGCGCTCTGCAAAGCTATACTCGAGCACTAACGCCTCTCCATTTCATCTTCCATCCCAACCCATGCTGAGGGAATCGCTCATCACTTACACATTCATTCCTTCTTCAACTTGAGCGCCACGAATGGGCTCAGAAAACCCCACTGGTCTGGAACAAATCGAAGCAACTGAGCCAGGTTGCATAACCGAGCTGTGGGATCCCTGGGTCCATCGCAAACCAAAGCAGGATCCACTTAAGACCACTGTTTGGCTCAAACGAGATTAGTTAACACGGAGTGAGGAAACCAAGTGCCGGCTTCGACATGATTCCCTTTGTGAAAGCGCCAAGCCTCCAGGATCACGTCTGACCCGCCCTGGGCAGCGCGCTGCGCCACATGCACGGAGTCCCCGAGAATGGATTCAGAAGCACCCACGGCAAAGTACAAGGGCGGCATGTTGTCGCCTGAAAAAAACATTCTGTGACAGTCCAAAGCAGTTCTTACAGCTCCCAAAAGCACGGCGCGATAACCAGTTGGCCCAAAAACGACAGACTAAACTATTTCGGCTTCGCACGGACCGGATGCGCCTTGGTAAATCAAGCGAACTCGGCTTCGCTACCTTTCGCTACCGATGCCTTCTGAAGCATCGGCAGTGTTCAATGCTTTCCCAATTGCTCACTTTTGGAAATTCCCCCTTTGCGTGCCGAAAAAGCCGCCTGCGAAGTCTGCCGGGTGCGCGAAGAAGGGAGACGCCACAGGGTCTGTTTGCAGTTCAGCAGAACCTCCAAGGTAGTCCACCGCATTGCCTGCAAAATGCGGCCGGTCCAAGGCGAGCACAAGTCAGGGACGCAGATCTGACAAATATTCAAGTATGTATCTGGTGCCCTCACACACCAGGTTCTACCGTTCGGGCTCCCCCATGCAGCAAAATACATGGCCTTCAAGTATTCTGTGTTTTCGTCTTTTTGCTTCGCTGCGGCAAGACTGGACCTCCCTTAGATTTAAACAAGCTCTAACACATGAGAATCATCCTTTCTTAGATGTCATGTCTCTTGTACTGGCAGACAGTCTACTAGGCTGAGGTGAACCTGAAAGACACATGTATCGAAGGGAGTCCACTAGTTCCGCCATTTATCTCCAAGTTTATTACTCGACTTGAGTCACTTATTACCTGCAACATGTTTTTTTCACTTTGCCAGCGTGGACGCTTACACATCCAAAGAAAAGGGGCCGCTTCCCCCCAAAACCTTCAGTCCTAAGGGAGGCAACGGTTTCACCATAGCTCCCGGAGTCGAACCGCTTCAAAAAAACAGTGTCATAAGCTTCAAGGCTCAAATCGTGCGTCTAACGCGCTCGTCATTTGAAGAAACTTCAAGATTCTTGGGCTCATTCTGAACGTCCACAGTCTCCTCCCTGATGCTGATCCGGCTTCTGACCCTCTCCACCCCCCGCTTGCCGACCCGCAAGCCCAGCGCAAGGAGCAGGAAGAAGCCGAAGAGAATTCACACACCAGCCATATCATGAGCGCTTAGTTGACCTTCTGTCTGGCCAGCTGTTTGCTCCAAGCAGGTGGAACTCTTCTTACGCCGGAACAGGTCATATGCAGCAGCAGAGCTGCCCTGGTACACCACAGTCAGGGTGTAACAGCTCAGGGCGTTCACCAAATCGGCTCGGACGGCGAAACCCACATAGACGGTAAACATGGCATCACCTACGAGATGAAAACCGTTGGCGCACATGGCTTTTTGAAAGTCGGACCGGGCTCTGACATCGTGCTCCGGAACCACCGCTGCTTGACATTCACCTCTCTCCAGGCCCCCCATGAGATCCCCGCAGAGGTGACCCTGACCAAGTTCAACTGCTGCTGGACGATGCGCACCTTCTGACATTTGTCGGAGGGCGGATCACAATCCTTCACACCTGTTCTGCCGGTCGTGCTCTGGGCATCCACCACCAGCAGTTGAGCTAGGTTCGCGGTGTATGTTGCTACCATACCATGCTGAAAATGGCGAAGCCCGCACGAATGGCATTCCTCGTGTCATCTAGCTTGGCTCCTCCCAAGTCTCCCCCAGCAAAGAAGGCCAGGGCTCCATACTGCGCACCCTCACGCATGCTGCGGAAGCCTCAGCTGCAGGTGCCAGCCTCTTCCTCCACGAAATGGAAGAGAATCTCTGCGATGAGTACCAAGCCAGCCAACAAGAGCCACAGGGTAGGCAAGAAAGGCTGCAAGAAGCTGAACGACTCATATCCCAAACTGGGATCCCAGCGATTGTCCGCCACCTCCTTTCTCACCATCAGCTTCATGTTTCCTGCTAGAATGGGGCTGGTAAACGTGGCCATCTGTCTTCGGCTGTCCGTTTCCATGACAACGGGAAGTCAATCAACCGCATCTGAACATCATGCACACATGCATCCCAGGTGACGCACACAGGCTCAACGATGCCTCTGACACGCTCTGCTGAACGGCGGTGAAACCTGCCGCCTGCTGGAGTTCTTTGAAGAAAGTGGCCACAGACCCTGTCCAACCATCATCCTGCTCGTAATGCCAGGGTCGACTGCTTGCCGGATATGCGAACCGGAAAGTCTGGCCAGTTAATTGGGCCAAGGTGCGAATCTACCAGAGGAAGTCATCTTGACTGTCTTGGTCACCACAGGTCAGATAGGAGTACTGCAAATCCATGCCTGGAAAGTAAGAGCTCGGACAGCTGGCAGTGGGACAATTCTCCGGATCTACGTAGCTATAGGAGTGTCACTCCTCCGAATTGTTGCGGTATGGGAGACGGGCCTCCCAAGTGGCACAATGGGACCCGAAGGTCTCACTGCTGTACGACATAAAACTTTGGGAGGTTGGAACTTGAAGGACATTGGGACTCCAATAAGTGCTGGACACGAAGTCTGGTGAGCATGGGCAACCTGAAAGCCCCAAAGACAGTGCCCCAAGCACTGCCACAACTGGAGCAAGCCCACCAGAATCCGGGATGCCATTCGTCCCAAGAAGAGTTCGAGCAAAGGACTTGAGCCGAAATGGCTCAACAGTGTTCTACCTCAAACCACAGGGAGCCTAGCTTTGGGGGGGGGGGGGGGTTCTGGAAGACCGTCTTTATTTATAACGGCCCGGGTTCCATGTTAGTCGACCCAAACCGTAGTATGGTGCCATGCTGGCTCAGTTTTTGTTCACCCCTGCGACTGCATTCATTGGAATGCCTGAAAAGGCGTCTGCATTCTCAGGCGTGATCTCCTGGAACATGATGTCCCCAGTGTACATAGTCAGCTCAGAGTCATCCTGTCGGTCGCACGGCAAACAAGGATGAATTGGTCTCCTGTGTCTGTACACGGCCATGCCTGAGAAGGGGGAAGCGGTGAGAAACCAGCTCTTCCCGCCATGACCAATCTGGCTCCACGACTGCTGCAGACCCTGAAAGCAATGCCTAAACACAATGCGGGCATCTCTTGATGCATGTGATTTGCGCATTCATAATATCATAATCCAAGTTCCAAGACATGGTGAAAGCATCTGGTGATGCAACTTTGCAACGTGTCTCTTGCCACAGCTGGGTGGGTCGTCTCAAGAATTTGCTCAAATACGTGGGAGTCATGTGAGACTTGCACGCGTAACCTGGCCTTAAATTTGCCCTGCCCCTGGATTCTGGAAAACGCATTGGTGTAGTACTCCGGCGTGTTGCACATGAGGTTCGTCCATGGGCTGAAGAGAAAGGCACCCGCCAACTTCTGGCTCAGTAGGTGAGGCCTGCCATGACCCAACAACTCCACGCAGGACATGAACCACATCTGAAAAAACGGTTTTCGGGTTGTCCCAACCCGCGGCAAAACATGGGAGCAAGAATCGCCATAAATTGGCCATGCCCTGTACCCTTTAAAAGCTGTTGGCCGGTCCAAGGCCAATAAGGCGGAGTCGGCGAAGTAACACGGCAAGGCACTGGCCTCCTCTGAAGGGTCAGTACCAATGACAGCGTCGTGCCGCCACCAGAGGAGTCTCCACCGACAAACAGGGGCACTTCCTCTTTGCAGCCATCAACAGGGCCATTTTTGGAGAGCCATTGCCTCAGCGCGAGGCCATTTCCACACAAAACGAATCTACCGCTCACGAAGCGGAAATCACATGTGTAAATGTATTCTTCTCCACACGTTGCAAACTAGATGCTGATCCTGAAAGGGTGGGATATTGGCAAGTGGCAACACTCAGCTTGACAACACATGATGTTTGAGGGCAGATCTATACTCCTGTGCGGCGTGTCATGCTCCAGCTTCAGAGTGCGGACTGTGGCAGTCATATGACAAAATTGTAATGATTCTGGTGCCAGGTCGCAAAGCAGTGATTGCCCACTCAAGGATGGTAGTATAGTTGCCTGCCACTTAGCACGCCAAGTGCAACACAACAGCAAAACCTGTGTGGCCACTTCCTGCAAGAGTCCTCTGATGCAAACATCCTCATATATCGGCGGTGGCTCAGAAACTGCCTGCCGGCACCAGCGGGTAATCATGGAGCATGACCACAGAGCCGGTGACCTGCGTGAACTACACAAGCGCAGTGGGACCAATCAAAGCCACACTCATCTCCAGAATGGGAATCGAGCAAGCTGGAAGAATATTGCCAGCCAAACCTTTCAGGCATTCTCATCGCCCCGTTTTCATGGAGGTGCCTCAGCCTGAGTAATTAATTAATTGGTACTTTTCGGGATCATTCGCAGTTTGCTTAGGCTCGCTTCGGGGTGGATTAACTTGAAGGATGAGGTTTGAGGATGAACTTGGGGTTTTGGGGTAGGCTTACCGGGGATTACCGGGGGGTTGTGTCAGATTCGGGCAGAAGAAGCTGCTTCTGATTTGGCTTTCGGGCTCGATGGTGGAGCACAGAGCACTCTGGGGATGTGTCCCATCCTCCTCTAGCAGACAACCAATCCCCCCACCAACGAACCGGGGGCCAAACCAGAAGAAAAAGTCAGCCCTAGCCCTCATCATTATCCTGAACGGCCACGGAGCACCATTGGCTATGAACACAGACCAAGTGTGCCAGGTGGCTGTGGGTCAAACACATGTGCCCAAAATGGCTTGCCCTGGTGAATGGAAATAAGGACTCAACCTGCGGTCCTCTGGTGTAATTTTGACCCATAGTCAGGTGCTTCTGGTGATTCCCTTTCCGCTGGAAAAGGCTTCGCCTGGGCCAGTCGAGACCCCAGCTGGGCATAGGAGTCGGTGGTGGGTGAGCCATACATCCAGCTGCCTCCGTGGGTGTAGAGCGTCCTTCGGTTTGGCGGAGCTTGCGAGCTGACGTGTTTTGAGACCCCAGGCTCTTGGTTGCTCAGGGAAATCCGTCCAGATTCTTGGAATCTGCACCCAGCAAGATGGGAACAAATAAAACCATTTGTGCAGGCAACTGTGCCTTTGAAACCATGCAGGCAACTGTGCAACTTTTGACTATGCCATGAATGCAACATGTGTCTTGAAAGCAAGTACGCTGTTGACTTGGCTTCTCCGTCCAGGCAAACAAAACTCAAGTCTCACTCGAATGGCAGTCCGAAGGCATGAGAGCCGCGCCTAGGGGTCGAGCAGGTCGCACCGTCAGGTATCCACATGGTGTCTCTGCCCCTCAAGCCCTGCAGCTCATCCCAGCAGTTGTCTTCATTGCAATCCCAGGTTGCGCCTTTCCTCTGAAAGGACTTCTGCTTTACCCCAGAGGCGATGTCCTGGTCCATGCAGCAGGAACTGTTCTTCACAATCCTCAGTGAGGTGACCTCTTGTCCCAAAGGACCCCTCCAAACGCGATCTTCACAAACTACCAAGGGTCTCCGACTTCTGATCATGCAAAACAAAAAAAAACACACACACACACACACACACACACACGCCGCCGGCATGCCCATGGGAAAGGGTGTATTTCCAACAGTCGCATTGCCAAGCCGCCTGCTGTAGCAGCAGGCGGTTGCTGGCGCCAGCAAGTGCAAGTGCTTCTGGCCGGTCAATTTGCAGCGGTCGCCATCTGGCCTGACATTCCATTCGCCCTCCCCCGTGGCTCTCAAACCCAAAAACTGAGTGATGATTATTTTATTGAGACCGCCAAACCCTGTTCAGTCTAACGATTTCTAGTACGCACCGGAGTTTTGTAAGCTCGAAACACTCCAACAACTTGTCGTCGATCTGAAAACGACATCGCAGCTCCATCCTCGATGCATGGTACCACCTTCACAGCTCCAAAAGGATAGAGATAATCATGGGTATGTCAAGCCTTGTTGATGGCGCAAACCAAAAACATGGTCTGACTATGCGAGAAAGACATGCGCCTTGGAACAAACACCAAAGTCACAGCAGGCGAAAGTGACGGAAACTCAACAGCCAGTGCTCGATTAAAAGGGGTGTCGCCCTTAGTTAGAACCTTGATGGGCGATTTCGGGCGCATCTGACTGGCGACTGAAGGCTCCGTCCAGCGCGCATCGAACTGCTGCCAAGCATCTCACCCTCTAGTTCGGACAACTGCCATTCACCTCGAAGGCAAAACGGCGCCCGTGGTTCAAGGACACATGTTCAAGGTACCTTTGTGACTGGCAGGCAGAACGGCGGCCAATCAGTTAAACTTAAGAGACAACAAACAATCACGGCAAGAGCCGTGATAAGGGCATGTCGAAGAAAAAAGGGGGAAAACAAAACGGGGAACTCAAAGAGGTGGTGTTCCGTTTGTTTTCCCTAAGCAAGGCCCCCGAATGAGAACCCTCAAGACCAAATGCTCCCGCACCAAGCCCCGCACGAGGAATTCGTGGCCGGCCACGCTTTGGCTTCGCTGTCCCCTCAGTCACGGATCTGGGTTAATACGTCAATGCAAGCTGCCAGCAGCGAGGCCTTCAGAAGAAGATCACTCTGGTGAAGCTCAGCATAGCTCAGCCACAAACATACAATTGCTTACCATGTCGTTGATTGCCAACTGGCCCGATCATAAAACTCATATATGGCCATGGGTCAAAGTCCCGTACCCCCAGTGAACTTCCCAATCCCCGCTAATATAGGTTCTAAAATGGGTGGTGCACCTACCCCACAATGGGATCCCATCGGTCTTCACCCACAGCCATATCTGCCAAGATGCAAAAGGCACGGAGGCGACAAGGAAGATCAGCAGCAGCATGCCGCGGAGCATGCGATTCTTTGGCTGCGGTCACATGCTGAGCCAAGGCTGGGACATTGAGTGCAGCATGAATGCCTTGAGATGACCCACACGCAGTCATTCAACTGTCAATCTACCTCAGCAATAGAGAGTTTATGTTTTTGTTGACTTGAAAAAACATCAGTCGCTCACCTTGCGCTTGACTGAGAGGCTTGCTGTCACTGAACGGCAAAGGAATCCGGAAATGCCGGCGTCTGAGGAAATTGGCATACTTCACCCAGCTGAAATGAGCTTCGCCGAGAAAAATCAACACTTCATCGCAAGTGAGGTCGCAAGTTTGCCCAGAGTATGTATGCACCATTGTGTGTACATACATGTATATATATATATATATATATTAAACATTGTATCAATACACACACACAGAGAGAGACATTTTCAGGTTGTATGATCCTCTCACATGAGCAACTTATCACATGAACTAACCTGAGAAGCCCCTAAACAGTTCAAACTGGGAACGAATACTACACCCATGAGAAGAAGGATGTTTACTATAGACATTTCAAACTCAATGTCTCCGCACAAACTTCAGGACACATGGAGGAGTGCTAGTTCAACGCGCAAACCCGGTTATTTGCCGCAGCAACATTCAGCCAGTGGTTTGGTCCTTAAACCATCGAACTTATCGGTTCAATTGTTTGGGCCTGTCACAAGTCGACTTTAATTATAGACGTCGACTTCTTTCAAGGCGACCCTAGGGTCGCACGCTTTGGCCGTTACTGCTGTTGCGCCTGCGCGCAAAACAGCCCTCTGAGTGCTGCACTAATGACCTCTGAACCAGAAGCGATGCACTTCTTGCCGTTCTCGTAACCCTCCTGGCACTGAACGGCCTAGTGATTGGGCAGTGATTGGGCAGTGATTGGGCAGTGATTGGGCTTTGACCACAATTTAGGATGCACCTCAACAAGGTTGTACCTAGAGCCAAACCATCTAGACGACAACACGCAAGCTTCCTGAAAGGGGAACCTCTTCAAAGATCCGCCGACCCCTGCCTAGAGGGGGAGGCGGACGCTGGGGATGTTGCAGATTCAAAAGTGACATTGGACTTTGGTGGTGCTGCCTTGGTGGTGCTGCTGGGGATGCGAAAGCACCACTTTTATCGCGATGTTTTCGCGAGCTTCGTCCCAAATACTCATGTTGTTTCAGCATATAGGGACCGGCGCCCGACCTCCTCAGCATCACCTGTGGCTCGACTCCTTCCCTCTTCGGCTTGAGGATGTGGATGGCTTGGTCTCCATTTCTTTAAGTAGGATTCAACGTGCCCGGCCACAAACCTGCCCGTGTCTAGGCCTAAAACCACATCGCTATGGCTATACCGATTTGCGATGTGTAACTGGCCCAAAAAGAAAAGGCACTGCATGGACTGCAGCCATGAACCAAGCGTGAGAATTCCTGTTACCCCCCACTCTCAAGCCGGGGTCTTAGCTCGATCCCGTCCTCGCGCCAGCAGCACGGCACAACTCCAGCGTCATGGCCAGAGGCGTGGCCTAATTATTTGACTGACCGGGATGACTTGGAGGCGAACATCGCACGGAGTCCCTTGGTCTTTCAACTTTCAACATGCCACCGAAAAAAAAAAAGCTGGCTTCAAAAAAACAGCCTCAGGTGTCATGTTTACATCAAAGTTTTGAAACACAAACAGGGGTTGATTCCTTTCCATTCTTGAAAAACCATCGTTCTTTTCAATCATCGTGCTGTTTCCCCTGACTATTTGATGGTTTCCTTACAAGAAGGATCCCTGAAAATAATGGGGAAGGTACCAGTAGAAACATGCTACCGAAACAAAAAACTGGCTTCAAAATGACAACCTCAGGTTTCATGTTTTGCATCAAAGCTTTTTAAGCACACATACAATACAGCCAATTCTCATCGTTCGCCCGCCACCGTTGCCATCTCCAACACATGTGAACAACCTCTTCCCCCTCCCCGGAGGATCCCAACACAATTCATACATATGGGACACGGAACCCTTCAAACCTTCACACCAAAGTACCCTGAACCCATGTCCTAACTTTAAATCCCGCTTGTTTACGCTACGAACACTTGTTGGGCAAAAGCTGGGTGTTGCAATCATAACAGCTTGGTCAGAGAAGTATGCCTCTCCAATGTGGCAATGTGCCGACGTGAGGGCACATCATCAATGGAGCCTGTAGGAGCCAAATGATTGCAAATACTGCCGCCAAGCTCACTGAGCAAGCACTCTGCGCTGTCGGTGATGGACTCACAATCCTGGACCTGTGCACAGTGACGCTTCGAGGAGGTCAAAGTCAGCTAAGCCTGACGAGGGAACTTGTAAAGGTCACTACACGCCCTTCACGCGGCTAAACACGATCAAAAGGTAGGGAAAAAAACATGCTTAACTTTTGATGCCCTTGCCAGATTGCAGGCGTCACCAAACCAAGCCGTGGGCTGCATGAGTACAGTATGTAAGAAAGGCGTCCAATGCTGCAAGCGCCATCCAAGCCCGCACTTGCAGTTCATGAACAAGATCCAGAATAGCTCTCTCGAGCTCTCTCCAAATCAGGAGCTGGGCAAACAACTTGCTTGCGCAGTACTTGTTGGCAGCATATCCTCCATAGCCAGGGTTTCTTGATCGGCCAAAAAATCCTCAACCAGCCTCCAATCAGGTGTTGGTTTGGACTCAAACGGACAGCCCGCCTTCAAGGTGAGAGGCTTCTGATGGCATTGCTTCTTGCCTTCCGCTCCGCCCGAGGTTCTCCTGGCAAAAGCACCGCGTGTGCTGAGAAGCCGCAAGTGGTTTCATACACCCGAATACATCCAAATATCTAATCACACGCCTGGGCGACACACTGCATGCGTTCCCAACAGTGACCGGTTTACTTGCTGAGGAGTGAGAGCTGATCCAGAAACCTAGCAGCTGCCTTAAAAGGAACACTTCTAAGCGTTCCAGTTGTACCATTGTCTGTCACAACAATGCTTCCTCCAGCCCAGGCTGAATGCAATGCTATGCCGACTCTGAGATCCAGGCACAAAGCCATCGTCGCATTCAATCTGACACACGCAAGCCTCGCCAGCCTGACATTCTGAAAGGCTGAAAGTCGTCTCTCTACGCAAGCTGACCACTTCAACGCAATGTAGCGAAAGCATCTTGGAACTCTCCAGGCACGCGGAACATCTCCATCTGTCTCATGACAGAAATCAAAGCAACCACTTTGTCAGGGATCCTTACATTATACACCTGAACATTGCCTTGTAAATGGTGGTTCCCCTGTATTTTGGTACAAAAAGCCATGTTTCAAATGGTTGCAAAATGGAGATCTTTTAAGGAGCCCTGTTCATGGCTGCCCTTTGTCCCCGTGACCCGTCTCCCCATGTCAAGCCGCGCCGCGACGCGACGCCGCGACGCCTGGCAGTCGCAGCCCACGACTTTGCGGCCTGGAGCGTCCACAGCAGGGCACTCCAAAGGAAGCGGCCTGGCGGTTTCGGCAAAATGGGTCAGGGGCTCCTGTTTGGAGTTGGTACCTTTTTGTTGGGTATAGTGTTTGTTTGTTTTGGGTATAGTTTTTGGGTATAGTTTTTGGGCACCTTTTTTTGGGTATAGCTTTTGGGTATAGTTTTTTTGGTACCTTGTTTAGTTTGTTTGTGTTTGGTGGTGTCAAAGGGAAACCAACAATTGATGTAGTTTGGCTATTGTGGTTTTAGAGGGAAACCAAGAGGGAAACCACAACTTTGGGGGTCCCCCCCAAAAAAAAACAAGACACGCCCAAATGGTCTTAAATTCTGCGGGCAATTCCATTGCATGACATCGGATACTTGTGATGCAGCAATCCTCACTGGTTTGACAGGGCTCTGAGTTACAGTCGAGCCCTCAGGAAGAGTTCAAAGAAATGCCGCAGGCATTGCCTGCAGAATGCACTAAACATCAGGTCAAACCAAGCCGCCTGCATTTCGAAAGACCCGTCAAACAGGCAGAAGCCTGGGTAAAACAAAGGGTCCCAAACATGCCCTTGCTCCTATGCAATGACTCCAGACTCTAGCAATGTTTCCAGGATGAAAAAGGCAAGCAAACAGCCAACTGCCAGCCCTGGCCTCAGCCAGCAGGCGGGAGAGCGACCTAAGCCCAAAACTTCGAACCCCAGCATCAAAACGAAATAGCCATACAGACTGTGCAACTAAAAGAGAACAAGCCATGTGTGTGTGTGTTGTGTGCTGTGTGTTGTTTGTGTTTGTGTTGGTCAGTTGGTGTGTTGGTGTGTTGATGTGTGCAGGTGCTTGTCTGTTTGTCTGTCTGTCTGTCTGTCTGTCTGTCATTCTGTCTGTGTGTGTGTGTCTGTCTGTCTGTGTCTGTCTGTCTGTGTGTCTGTCTGTCTGTCTGTCTGTGTCTGTCTGTCTGTCTGTCTGTCTGTCTGTCTGTCTGTCTGTCTGTCTGTCTGTCTGTCTGTCTGTCTGTCTGTCTGTCTGTCTGTCTGTCTGAGTCAGTCTTTCAGTCTGTCTGTGTGTCTGTCTGTCTCTCTGTCTGTCTGTGTGTCTGTCTGTCTGTTTGTTTGTCTGTATGTCTGTGTCTGTGTATGTGTGTGTGTATGGGTGGGTGTAAGCTTGAAAGTCAACATTGCGTGTCTAGAAACGGCAGCATGCAGTCGCACCCATCGGTTGGCAAAACCCAGAAGCATTGCCTGCTTGAATTTCATGTCTATAAGCATGCCGGAATGGCCAAACATGAAGCCATCGCCATCCTCCTTCGGTTCGCATGTCCTGCAAACAGCATTCAGCTCACCTGATTCATGCCCTAGACAATACATATCTAAAGGATATATCACGCATGCTGGCATCCCCTTCTTTGCACTACTGCTACACGCATCTTCGGTTGAAGATGGCAACATATTACGACGTTCAATCAGCGCACGCAGCAAACACCTTGTTGCAACCTCTGTCCCTGCCCACGAGCACATGAGCAGCTGGCAAAACCTACGTTGGAGATAAAGCGGCTTCAAATACATTTACATGTTGTCATA